CTTTTAATGTAAAACTTTAATTTGCCAAAGATACTATATCAACTTTAAAATATGTTTTTTTCTTATTTCATTTGTTGAACATGTAAAAAAACCTGTATTACATAAATATAATAAGATTAGTGTTTAAGAAGTAATATTTGAACAATCATCTTTGTTACTCATTTGTTTAACAAATATTTAATGGTTATGGTGTTAAAAATCTTATTTCATTTGTTGAACATGTAAAAAAACCTGTATTACATAAATATAATAAGATTAGTGTTTAAGAAGTAATAGTTGAACAATCATCTTTGTTACTCATTTGTTTAACAAATATTTAATGGTTATGGTGTTAAAAAAAAGTGGTATTTTAGGGCACTAAATTTAAGGTGATTTTTCATTCAAAAAATATTTATTAAGTGAGGCATTAGGCACTAGAGAGCTAATGGTGAGCAAGGCAGAGTAACTCAAGGGGCATACTTGGGTAGAATTCAAACTGCAAACCAAAGTTAGAAAGGAGCCAACCACAGAAAGATGAAGGATAGTAGCTTTCAGGCAGAAGAGTAGGCATGTGTAAATTTCCTGAAACAAGAAAGAGCTTAGAGTGTATCAAGATGAAAAAAAAAGCCAATGTGCTAAGTAAGGCAAAGATGAACGGTGCAAAATGAGCTTGAGAATGTAGGCTAGGGATAGTGGTTTAGATACCTATTTGCCATGATATAATGTTTGGATTCCAATAAAAATGCAAAGACGTAACAACATGGCGGGAATAATATGAAATCATTGAAGCTGGTCACTATGGTTGCTGTGAGGTGGAGGGTGGGGACAGTCAGTGATGGTGGCCTAGATAGGTTGGGTTCAGAAAAGCTAGACAGAAGCATGTGGATTTAAGTCTTGCTGTGGGTTTAGATGTGAGTAGTGAGGGAGAGAGAAGAATCGTTAATAAGCTGCAGATCTCTGTCTTGAGGATAGACGCAGTGAAGGTACAGTGTAGTGGAGGGGAAGAGGGTTATGTTAGTTTGGGACAGGATGAGTTGTGTATCAGGGAAGCCTGAACCTGTGTGTCTGGAAATAGTAGGAGAGATCTGGGATCACCGACCATAGATGTTATGAGTGCCCTGTACAGAGCTCCAAAGAACAGAACATCCGAGTTCCAACAAAGGAAGTGCAGGAGGAGCCAGCAGAGGAGAACGGAAAGGTCATTATGGTGGGAGGAAAATCAGAGCAGTGTGGTGTCATGGAAGCTATAAAAGGAGATTGCTTAAGAGAGTATAATTGTGTTGATTGTTGCCATGAAGAAAAGATAAGGCTAGAGAAGTATTTATTAGATTTTACTTGTATGTTTTTAAAATATATTGCTGGTGCTTACGTGTTGGTGTTCATTCTACTTTTTTAAAATTATTTTTATAACTTTTGCTAGCATTTATCATCTTTTTTTGAACTTAAGGTTTTTCCCTTGAGTTAAAAATAGTGACCTCATGTTTATAATTTCTAATACTTGTTTTTTCTTGATATATCTTTTGCTATTACTCTATAAATTTTTTTTATAACTTCTTTCCTGATTTTCTTCAGGACAATATATTTGTAGATATCACTTTCATATTCAATCTGAGATTCTGTTTATTTGGGACCTTAAGCCATTTATAGTTATTGCAGTCCTGATTATTTTAGGACTAATTTTTGCTATCTTATTTCATGTTTTCTATTTTTAAAATTTCCTGTTTGTTTTTCCTGTTTTCCTTTGGATATTTTGACATTTACTGGTTTGAAAATTTGGGAAATTTTACCTTAGATCTTTTTACTTATGGTGGTTATACATACATTATTGAAGACAATAATTATGTGTGTTTTCTAGCAATTTTTAAACGTACAAATGCCTTTTCTCAAAATTATGTAAATATTACAGTACTTTTCACTTTTTATTTGTTTTTAATTGAGTGATACATACATACATACATATACACATACACACATACAATTAGTATTTTTTTGAATTTTATGTCTGAATTTTTATGGTTACACTTTTTCTAGATCTCTTCTAAGTTTAGATACTTGTTTTTTATTTAGATCTTTATTTCTCACACATTCATAGCTTTCTCTTTAATTCATTATTTTTGTGGTCTATGTTCATGTGAACATCTTTATTTTGTCTTTTCATTTAAATGTTAGTTTTGCTGGATATAAAATTATAGGTCCTCTCTCTTCAACATTTTCCCTCCCTTGGTTCTTTTACAATATACTTCTCAAGTATTTTGTCAGAATGATATTTATTCCTCTGCTTCAGTGTGATTATTTATTGAGTAGCTCTGTAAGCTTCTAGAATTTTATCTTTATATATGATGCTACTATTATTCCTATAATGTGTCTAGGTGTACAATTTTTTTCTTATGTATCTTGATTGGTACTCTCTGTGACCTTTCATCTACAGTCATCAGTGTTTTCTTCCTCTTACATTGTGGATAATTTTTAGTCATTATTTTTTAAAATATTTCTTTTCCTTGGGACTCCTATAATACTGATTTTATCACTTTTGATTCTGCATTGCATGTCTCTTAATCTTTATATTTTTCTTCTACTTTTTGCTTCCTAATTCCTTCAGGAGGATTTTTTGATCTGATATTCCATTTCAAGAATTTGTTCAGTATCTAATCTCTTCTTCAATCCCTATATTAAGTTCTTTGTTGTAGCTTACATAGTTTTTGCTTTTAAAATCAGGTTTGTTGAGGTGTAATTTAATCACTATAAAATTTATCCTTTTAGTGTAAAGTTCTACAAGTCTGACAAAAGCTTCTGATTGTGTAATCACCACCACATTCAAGATACAGGACATTTCCATCAACTGAAAAAGTGCTTTTTAAACACATATCTCTCCCTCCAACCCAAGTACTGGGCAACCCCTGATCTTTCTTCCAGTTCCTATATTCTTGCCATTTCAAGAATATTATATAAACACTATCATGTAGTATGTTGTCTTTTGAGTCTCTACTTCATAGAAGGCAATTAAAATCCATCCATATTGTTGCATGGAACAGTAGCTCATTTTACTATTGTTGAGTAATATTC